GTGAAGGTTGGAAAAGAGCCAGTGGTGGCCAAACAAAAACATGGCCTCATCAATCCATGAAATCCTTGACAGTTAAACTGAGTCAGGTAGGGAGATGCAGACTCCCGGGTTGGGGCCCTCGGGACTCTAGGAATCAATGGCTGGAGACAATAGGTGACATGGCTCAAAATCGTTGCCAATGACAGCGCAGATGTATTCAGTCTCTGTAATCTTTCATATTCCTTTCTACCATTACCCATTCTGTTTCACTCTTATATTTGTCAAACTCTATTGATTCTCTTCACTCATCTTCTTGTCTACCTTTGTGTGCTATTTGGAAGGTGGCAACTCGAACTGGTGCACTTCGGTGCCAAGTTCTATGTTGAATCCAGACAGACAGACATGGGGAGAGTTGTGAATGAAGACGGTGTTGTGAGTCAGATAAAATGGATTTCGCCCATTTTTCACATCAGTCCATGTGCCTGTCGACCAGAATATTAACAAGCTGGCTAAGTGGCAAATTGCTTCCCCTGCTGACAACCTTTAACATCCTACGTAATAAGGTATAGTCTTTCTTCAATAGCCCAGGAAAAACTAAGGGGGAACAATAGAGAATAATAGGCAGAATACGGAAGTTAACAAATTGTAGGAGTAAGGGTTGGGTCACACCATCTAATCTATCTGTTCGACGATTTAAAGAGCAAGCTGTTCAACAAGTGCGACGAAGAAAATATAGATGGATGGATTAGACATGCGCTAAAAAGACCTCTGAGTTACATTACACACCAGCCAGGCGTCCGAATGGAAAGCCATAAATCAGGTGTATATCCAAGGGTAACATGGAGGAGCTCGTGTGACGAGGAACCGCAGTGGCCATCTAAGACAAAAAGACCTCTGAGAACAGATTAAAACAGATACGATCCTACTGAAGCCCTATGTTCTACTCGGAATATTAATTACAATCAAAAAACTATTATCAATGTGTAGCCAGTGGTTGAGAGTTTCAACTTAGCATTATTATTTGTTATCAGTAAGTATTACCAGAATTTGTCTTATTGTTTTTACTTTCTGACCCCCTCACTTGACACCTGGTTTATTTATTTATTTATTCAGTTATACCATAGTTTGTTCATGAAAGAAACACACTGGTTACTTAACTCTGAAATTGGTAAATGTATTCAGCCGACATTGGAAAAAGAAACCCTCATGATTGTTGTATTATTTATTGTCTTACGTAATGTATCGGTTAAATACATTCTTTCCTGTTTATTTTCATAATATGGGGGACAACAAGCAGTAGACATGTAAATAGATCGATAGATAGATAGATAGATAGATAGATAGACAGGTGAGAATGTTAGACGGATAGATGGACTGACTTCTAGCTAGAAAGATAGACAGGCAGACAGACAGACAGACAGATAGAAAAAGAAACCTTGTCAATTCACAAACAATCCTTAATCTAATAGTCAACTTAGAGACACCAAGATCACAATCAGTTGAAGTTAATTAATTAATTTAGTTAGTTAATTAAGGTAATATACAATCACAGTTGACTGTAAACGACACGTTATTACGTCATTCAAAACATACAGAAGTTATACACAAACTAGTATTTGGACACATTTATTCTCTAGCATACATATTTGAATAGTCTAGCGATATCTTGTCTGTTTAATTTCAGTCAGTCTACAATCAGAATTGATTTAATTATTTATTATTTATTTATTAATTATTTATTTAAGACACAGTCTCGATTCAAGCTAGAAGCCTGAAGCTTCCGTAGCAGTGGTGTTTACTTTTACGTGATGGGGTTGCTATAGCCTCACACCCAACCTTCCCTCTTTACCAGTCTTGTTACTGGCTCAACCAGGTAAAAGAGTTTGTCGGCCGGAGATTGAACCCCGAACCACATGCGTGGTTGACGAGCATTCTACCGCTGTGCCATCGACACACGAAAATACCATGGCCTACAATTATTGAAGAAGGAGATATATGGATCTTCTGGAAGGACTTCAAAGCTGTTGCGAAGTTAAATGGCGTTCGAAAGCCGTCAGTGAAGACGCTTTTACTTGGAACGCTGCTGAGAGGCCGAGCAAAGGCAGCATATGATAGTGAGGCAAATAGAAGGGCAAGCGCTTAAAAGAGGAGTTGGACAGCCCGATGGACAGACAGCCGGTGATGCAGAGGTCTCACATTACGAAGCTAAGAGCTGACGGTTATCTTCTTGTATTGGTGTTGACCCTGAAAACCCCACTGCATTGCGTGCTGCCAACACTCAACGAAGATTCCCAGGCACAAATGTTAACGTTTCAGTTTATGGAGAGTACTCCAGAACACATATCTCAACGAGCGACGCTGGGGACATCACTCGTACCAAATTCCCATGAAACTACATGAACTCTCTTACAAATTGCCGCGCCTGGGCAGCGATGATTCGAGACGTTCATGAAGCCGGCTCATCCTCCCGTAGGAGATAGCCGAAGTAAAGAAAGAAGAAATATCTCAACAGCTATGCCTAATTCACGCCGTATAGCCACTGGATATTGGGGAGCTCACGAAGGTGACCAGGCAACTATTAATCAAGACGGTTGCCACAATAGAGCCACCAAAAGTCAAGCAATGTGAGCAATAAATTGAAGAGTTGCAGCGTGAAATGGCCGCATGAGGAGAGATCAGTGTTTTGCATGCAACAAACTGGGATACTGGAAAAACCATCGCGCCGAGAGACGTCGGAAGAAACGTCTTAAAAGGTATACTGTGTCCTCTTTCTGTTCTTCGAGACTAGAGGTGATAAGAGTGATTGAGAAGGGGGCAATGTATTCAAAGGTGCGCGTAAATCACCACGAGTTGGTGCGTTTAACTGACACAAGGGCAGCAGTCTCGCACATTGTCTGTATCACACACCACCACAATGCTATTGCTCAATCAACCTACTATTTTTTCTCATTGCTTTTGTGTCTCTATTGGACTAATTTTGTGTTTAAATACCACCATAGAATCAAAATCATAAAGATATTTTTTGTCATTTCCAATTGATTTTTCCACATACTACGTAGAGAGTGAGAGAGAGAGAGAGATACCCTGTCATTACTCAAAGACAATTCAAAGACAATGGATAATATAGAGATGAGTATAGTTTGACATACAACCGAACAACCAAACAAAAAGATAGTCCAGTTTATCAAAGACACTTATGACAAATACCATGCCTATTTAGACAACTGCCTATGTATGTATGTATATCCTTTGTGAATTGTTAGACATGTAGACATTGAACAATAATAATAATAATAATAACAAGAATACAAATTGACCAATTACAATCATTCGTTATTAGACATAAAACTATTGAGCATGATAGCAATCATGAAAACATTAATAGTACCGTCCTTTTTTATAACTAATAACATTAGCAGTAATAACAATAACAACAACAACAACAACAATAACAATGAATTACGTAAACTATAATATCAGACATATGAGTTACTTTGTGAGTCCATTTTTATAAATGGTATAATTAACTGATATGTATGAGAAAGTAGAATTATAGAGTGTATTATTATTACCTATTATTATTATTATTATTCCCTTGCGTTCTGAGTGGAACATAGGGCTTCGACAATACATTTCCACTTTATTCTGTTTTCTACTGTCTTCTTCGACTGGCTGGCTTCACCATTGGCCAAACTCTCTTATCTCCTTCTCCACCTTCCAACACAATCTCCTCCATGTCACCCTCGCCACCGACAACCTAATTTTCGCTTCCCATTTAGATTCCACTAGAGTTATGGCCCGCATTGGGTGCGATTTCATTCAGCTGCCTCTTCAATGTATGCCCGATCTCCATTTCCACTTTCTCCTGTATATTTGTTGAGCGATTGGCTCTCGCCTGTTGGTTTTTTCCCATAGTTTTTTAATGCTTATTCTTTCTCGCCAGTCATTTAATCTTCAGTATGGAGCCAGCGAAGAGAGCTGTTGATGAAAGTCTGCAGTTTTCTTTTTATTCCTTCACGTTCCGCAGTGGAACATAGGGCTTCAAGCTAGAGGCTTGAAGTTTCGGTAGCAGTGGTGTTTATTTTTACAGGATGGGGTTGCTGGTTTCATGTTAAACCTTTCTTCTTTACCAGTCTTGTTACTGGCTTAGCCGGGGGTCGAACCCCAGACCATGTGAAGGGCGATGAGTGTATTACCAACGCGGTGACCTGTTGGAAATCCTTTCCATTACACGCCAGCCAAGTTTCTGACCTGTATAAAAGAATCGACTTCACATTGGTGTTTGAAATGAGAATCTTGTTCCTTATGCTGAGTACGGAAGATTTTTATAGAGTGTATACCTTCGCTTAATAACCTTTCTAACCGAAAGATAGCTGCTACATTCATATGATATTTGGGAGTAAATATCGCAGTGACTCAACAAGATACACTGACTGCAGTAATTGCTTCTGGTTTGACCATCGATGGATCTTTTCCAACCTCATTTAATCCTATGTCAGCTAACATTGGTCATTGTCGCGGAAGGCTCAAAAGTGTTCTCAATAACTGCTGGCGCAGATGCATCCACTCCGTGTGACTTATACTCCCCATAAGAAAGCCTATATTGTTCTTCGATATTACTATTCCTTTTGCTTCAAATCTCCGTTTTCTGTCTCTACTTTGCATTCCTTTGTGTAATGAGTGAAGTGTGGCGACTTCAATTGCTGCGCATTTGTGCAAAGTTCTACGTTGAAAGCAGACAGAGACAGACTGGTTTAATATTACTACTTTGATAAAGCTATCAGCAGCCGCATTAATTAGTGAAACGTCAGTAAATTCAACAACATCGTTTTATTTTTCATTCAATCATTGAGAAATACAAAGTCTTTTTATAATAATAATGAATATTACATATACCCAATGACCAATTTTTTTCAGACTACTAAAAGTGAACTTGGTTTGGATAGATATAACTATTTCATCATCATATTTTATTGATTTAAGTTAAAATATTAAATAAGAGATAAGAATTGTTGACTTACTTTGTAGTTGAATCCGATGTCTTAACTCTTCAATGGCATTGTCACGTGATTGTGGATGCTCATTCAATTCTGAATAAGCTTTTTCCAATGTTTGTGGTGATAATTCTACAACATTAGTCAGCATATTGTATTTTGATAGGAGATAAACAATCCACCATTATCTCAATTAAATATATGACAAAGTTTTGTAAATATTGGGAGTTACGGAATACCTATAAAAAAGACCAATTAATAATTAATATAAAGAAAATTTTATTTCATTTTGATTTCAACTTGATGCCACACCGTATTTTTGGTACATGTACGGAATTTTCAGCATGTGATAGCGGTAGCCCAAATTTTGCAGGCCGACCATAGATATCAGGTGTGCGTCAGCAGAGGATCGAACCTCGGACCATGTGCATCGTCGGCGGGAGTCCTAACCACTGTGCCATTATACAAAAAAAGCAATATGCAACTGTATTCACATGAAAACTGAAGACTGGAACGAGGCAGTTGAACCTAGAATTGAATTCTAGACTCATTGCACAATTGAGCCCTACTCGTGTTGTGCATATTACATAAATTGTAGACAAGTTATGTGAATTCGGATATATTTAATGGTCATAAAAGTAATTAGCCTCTTCTCTCATTCCAACGGCTTATTTAACTTGAGATCTTTGCAAACCTTTCAAGAAGTGCTAGTGTTTAACCTAAATATCAGTTTAGGTTGTCCAGATGTGTATGGTCCTCACCTTGTGAATTCCACAGTAAAGTTTGGTTTCCATACGAATTTCTTCCACCTAGCAAGATTCATGACGAGGAAGCATATTTAAGTCTAAAGTTAACAAGAAATCTATGAAGACAACCCCTACATTTCTCAATAACGCAATTGAAAAAGTGACTCATATTAGGTCGTTCACAAAGCTAGAACCTTTTCGGAATCAAGAGAAGTCTATTCACTAGGGTCAGAAAATTCACTGTCAAGAGGAGGTGATATTGAAAATAGGATGATTGGTCCTTTTCTGCTTCTTTCATCAATAGATTAACTACGCACTCCAGATCTCCCATGATCATTCACACCGAAAATCTGAGCAATGTGCATAAACTACACATACACTTAAATGACCTATTAAGTTGAACAAAAGGTATGCTGCATATGAAAGTGACCAAGTCCGTAGCCATTGCAAGGGAAACACGCATTTCAGTGCATACCTTACGGAAGGAACATTATTCCATTCAATTCAGAAGTACAATAACTCAGCTGATATAGTATTTCTTGAACTAAAAGCTACAGTACATAATAGGTGTAGCTCGAAGCTTACGAACCTTTCAAGCGGTGGATACGCTGTCTACTAAAATAGCTCAATACACATTTATGGCTAGGCTTAAATCGAAAATTTCGTTCAAGAAGCTGTTCTTTGTTTAAAATGCGGCTTTAACATACGGGCAGCAGTTCAGATGAAGATCACACATGGTCCCTGGTATATTCCATTTACTACACCAGGAGACTATACAAAGACCCTGTTTCTTATTTGATAGCAGGTAGAGCGATCTAGCCATTAAGTGGTAAGGACACACTAGACGAACTGTACACTTTGGAGTACTGAGTGCCCCAACATCTCACTATTCTTTGCAAACAAATTCCAGAATAAACGGAATCTGTGACTTTAATTGACATGTTTCAGAGGAGTATAGATACGCATGGATAACTGGCAGCAAAGAACTAATACAGGCTAGAAGCCTTCTGTCAATAACAAGAATCATGTTTGAAAGTTTTTTGATGAAATGACTTAGAGGTCGCCATCATTGCACAGATGTATTCGCCATGGGGTGAACTCAGAAAATGGAACATTTATAAATCTCCTTATAGCTATTTTTACGCCCCATCTCTGTTTATTTAAATAAATATTAAATCCAATGTCACCAGGTTAACGTTCACAAACTTTTTATGTAAACTTGAAAAACGTGAGAAACCAAGCTAATAATGATTTAAGATTACCAATCTGTCATCTCATTTATTTTATAATACCTGCGAAATCCAAAAGTACATTTAAGTGTACTTTTGAATTTGAAGTACACTGGACTGGATTTAATCCAACAAACTAGCAGAAGAAGTAGTAAAGATAGGACTTCAAGTAAACATAGAGAAAACGGAAGTGATGAAAATAACCAACCAACCAACCAACAGCAAGCACCAATCACCAACAAAGGAGAAAATTTAAATGAGGTAACTTCCACTTATCTAGCCAGCACTGTTTCAACTACAAGCCGACGGAACGAATGAAGATGTAAAAATCAACCAGAATCGGAAAGTCAAGACAGACATTCACTTCTCTAAAATCACCTATTGGAATCTACTTGAAATCGACACGTCGTACTCCATGAGGGAAACACAGAACTACCAGAAGTTAGGGAGCAAAAGGACTTAAGAATTATTGTTAGCCATGACTTAAAAACAACGGCAAACTGTAATCGAGACGCAGCGAGGGCTTTTCGAATGTTATGGGCACTTTGAAGGTCTTTCACAAGATTAGACGAGAGCATGTTCCAAGTACTCTATTGAATATATGTCAGGCGTCACCTAGAGCACTGCATACAAGCGGCGAGTCCATGTTTCAAAAAGGAGGCACATACCCTGGAAAGAGTACAGAGGGTATGAACGAAATTAGTTAGTGGTATCTCACACCTTCCTTATGACATGACGATGGAGCATTTAAATCTCTTCCCATTATAATACCAAAGGAGAGGCGACTTAATTTTGGATTACCGTATATTCAAGGAAAATTTAGCGACTGAACTTTCAAACCTTTTCTCTCATTCTAGGATACATTTACGGGGTCATCAGAAGAAGGTGCTCAAACCGAGATGGAATAAAATAAGTTTGGACTTTAGATTCTCTCACAGAGTGATCGACGACTGAGACTCCTCACCTGATTCAGTAGTAACAGCTCCATCGGTGGACGCTTTTAAAGAGAAAATAGATCTCTGCAGAGATATACATCTCAAGGATAAGCATAGGCAACAAGAGCCTTCGATCTTTATAATCTGAATCTGAATAAAGCAGCATGAAGAACGAGATTTGGATTTCCAACACAAATTTTAAGTCATTTTTCTATATGGGTCAGGAACTATACGAGTCACGAAAAGCTATTCAAAAAGGCTACTGCGGAATTTTATCAACAGCTACCAAATTTGTTGCCTCGATAATGACGATCAAATAGCAAAAATGAATTAGCAACAAAAAACTCTGGGAACAAACCAACCAACGACCTACTGCTCTTAAAATATTCCGAAGTAAATGGAGACGGGTTGAACACACGCCAGGTAGACTGTTAGATGACATTGCCAGCCATGCCGAAGACTCAAGTGGAACCCGAAAGGGAAACGACGAGTGGGTAGTCCAAGAGTAACATGGAGGGGGTCGTTCCAGGAGATGAGACAGTATGGGCAATAGCAGAGTCAACTTGAGAGGGTTACATAGAAAAGGACAAGGTGGGTATGTGCTGTTGAAGCCCTATGAGCAAATCGAAAGACAAAGGAACAATAGTAATAACAATAATATAATTTCTGCTTCTGAAGAACTCCATTTGACTGATTTAAATATATTGCGATCATGGAAAATTTTTCCGACAGACTAATAGTGTGTATAACCGACAAAGTAGTACGAAATTCAGGAAAAATATTTTCTGAACTATGGTTTGAAACTACGGTATTCATTTTATTAAGATTTCGAGTAAAATCAATCCACTTTTACTAACAAATAATAATGAATATCAAACAAGGACAGTGATTTTCGTAGGGACTAACAAACTTCTGCATGTGATAAAATAGCCACTCACCGTTACCAAAGAGACGATATAGCGTTCAGCTTAAAGTTTGCACTTCTGAAAGGCCAACTAAAATCACTAATTCAAACAGTTTTGTTCAATAACAATGACGTGTCTTTTCACTTATGGACTATTTATCTACGTTACTTTCTCTTGTATAATGCTTTCAGAAACTTTTCCAATAGTAGAATTCGAAACGTCTCGATATATAATGATATATGATACACTGTGGATGTTTGACCTCCCAACTTTAGTCTAACGAGTCGATTTCAGACTCAAATTATAAGGATAGAAGGCTCTTCTTTTCTGTGCTTATCCTTGAGATATATACCTCTGCAGAGATCTAGTTTCTCTTAGAAAGTGTTAACCAATAGAAGTGTTACTATTGAATCAGTTAAGAAGTTCCTGTCGTTGAACACTCCCTGACACTTCCACACGCATTTTATTCGACCTCAGTCTGAGTACCTTCTTGTGGCGACCTAGTAGATGTATCTTAGAGGGAGAGAAAAGGTTTGAAAAGTCAATCCCTAAATCACCCTTATATATACGGCATGCCGAAATTAAGTCGCCTCTCTGGTATTATAATGGGAAGAGATTTAAATGCTCCATCCTCTTATCACGAGGAAGGCGTGAACTTAAAAAGTGAAACCCAAAACTGGATATTGAATGGTGATGAAGGTGGCAGTCTGAGCGCTTAAGAAAATTATTTAGCTCTGCAGATCACTTCCTCCTCCCCCTTACTTACATCTTCAAGACCCCACGACGATAGAGCTGGATATCAAAAACGATTGGTTATACCAATAACAAACCATTCTGAGAGGTGTGATGATAATCGCTGCCTCTTTATTCGTCTGTCTGATCTAACAGGGTCTATGCAAAGGAGTTCCGCATGTGCCCATGTGTGTATTTTTCTAGTGTTTTGCATTTTTCCAGTAACCCCTGTGACTGGAGGAGAAAAACGGGGATCTGAGATAGCTGAGAAGGATGAATAACCAAAGTGAACCGGATTCGTTTGGACATATATAAATCATAGTGAGAGAAAAGGGAAAGAAAGACAGAGAGTGGATTTGTGGGTCGGAGTGAATTAATCCAGTGCTGAATATTATTATTATTATTATTATTATGATATACTATTTGCCTGAGAATGATAGACTGTTGTTCCGAAGTGTGTGCGATTTAGAAACAACTGGTCACTTCAGAATCGACGCTGGTTACCAGTTGTTTCACAAGATAAGCAGTCTGCGTTTCCAGGAAAGAGCATTTGACTGCTTCAACAGATAGATCCTGGAGGGAACTGATTTCGGCAATCGGATAAAACGACCAAAGCCTGTCAAGACATGCGCAAGTATATTGCATTGAGGAAGGGGCTGTATTTGATGAATGGATAAATACATAGGTGGAATAATACTGGAGTAAATCAGTTAGCTTGAGTGAGTGCGAAGTACGACTATTCTTCCTCAAATAGATTCTACATCACCGAGAATAAGAAATATTGCGAGACTAACCCTAGCATGCGGTCGCGAGTAAAATTCGGTAAGACTGAAACACATCTAATATACATACACACCTCCGACACAAAATAAATTTAGGTCAGAGGTTAAGCAAACATATTTTATGTATCATTTTAGGTCTAATATTCGTAACTAGGTCAAAGTTTGCCAAATAAAACCATCATGTCCTCTGAGCAACGTACGTCTAAATCTGATCCATAAAATCTCTCTTCTCAGCCAGTGGTTTCAGATGTCGATTCTTCTCTTAACCAGTTCCAATTTTTTACGTGCTGCACATTGCTACATTGCAGTTTCAGTGAGCTATGCATTTAGGAGCCAAGTGCTTTATTTCTTTATTCATGCAATAGCTACGCGTGATTAGCCTGGACGTAAATCGGTGCCCGGGGCGAGATGTATCGTTTAATGTACTGAAAGTGTTGTCGAAAACTTTTAGACATAGCTGGACAAGGGATAACCCTGAAATATCTGCAATAAATTATCTTTTTGTGAGAACACCAGCTTCCCTTAGAAGGTGAGCCAATTTCACAAGGTTGGCATAAGCCATTTGAGTAAACATGAGATACAGGCCAATGTGTCTGAGATAGTACTATTAGCCAAAGCTGCTTGGTACATGTGGTGCATGTCTTAGATAAAATGAGAAATGTAATTTCACTGGTGTAGCTCTCTTGAAGAAATGTTTTGGAGGTCTAATTAGAAGAACATGTGAGGGGCTTGTAGGCTGTGAAAATGGCGATTCCTGAACCCCTACGGACTGTCGAAAATGACCTAATAGATAGCATAGAGCAGCAAGCTACCTGACGGAAATATTTCTCTGTGTCCATGATCTGTAGCAATATCAAGATGAATAAAAGTGGCTGGCATTGGTTACTGGCCACTTGTTATAAGACTAAACCTGTTGAACCAGTGGATGCAACAACTGAGACTCTTGTAGGTGCCGTTGGATGCCAAAGAGGGAGGTTCGTCAGACATCGTGTTAAAGCGCAGCAACTGGAAGTGAACAGTCAGTAAGAAATTACTACGCCAATAATGTTTGCACCGGTTTATGGTTTTCGGATCTGAAAAGTTGAGTTTGCTTCTAACTTTGGGGTATGTTACGCTCAAGGAAGTTGACTGACTCTGCTCCTGTTTTAAATTTTACAATCTTTTTCGTACCGTATTTACATAATCTGTTGTAGGCCAAGTTCACATATTAGTTATGGGCTTCTCTGGCTTAACTTGTGATGGAGCAGTTATCCAGCCACGCATTTACAGAGATCGAAGTGCTTCCTCAGTAAAGCATTTGAACAACTGAACCGCATCTTGTAGTTCAATTGGCGAGATAAGCGCAGTGATAGTTGTTTTTAGAAGCTATCGATAGCGGCATCGGGAAAATTTGCCGCCGATAGAAGAGAACTCTCTGGGACTTAGAATGCGATTTTACGCATTTAATAACTAACTCGATTTCAACGCAAGTGGCACTAGGAGATGGAAGGTAAGTCGGAGATTTCTTCGTCAACCAAGTATAAGCTAATATAGTAGGTTGATTGAACATCACCGTGCCCATGTGATTTGCGCTTGGTTACTACCAACACTCGGAAAAAGTCTACAAATAACGTCGGCGTAATATACATTAGTATTTGTGGTCGTATTGCTCCAGTTTTGTACCGACAAGCAGACTTTTAAGCTATGGTAGGACCAATTGCCTTCAGCCAACATGAAACTGGTTCGAAAAAACAAGTTCATTCAATGTCTCCCCAATATGTATAATCATCAACATGTATCTTTGGATGACATCGATATTTGACCGTGCTTTTTGGCCAATTTGACTTTTGAAAAGGCATTTGCATTCAAAAAATTCTCTACTAAGTCTTGAATATGCAGCAGTGAGTGGCGATTTCGGGCATTTGTGGCCTTCAAGCACTGGTACTCATCGCCGGATTGCCACTTATGATTACCCTGCCCGGGTATCACGTGAAATACCCATGGACTATTCCATAGCCTGATAATACCGAGATTTCGCATATGGTAGTGTATAGCTCTTCGAAGGTCTTAGGTTACGTGGAATTAGAGCTGGGATTTTAACGCCACAGGTTATTTTGTTATTGAAATGTGCTACCCGACGTCACTAGATATAGAGGCCAAATCGTTAAATGTTTAATTCTCATTACCCGTGTGTGACTGGCTGAAGGTTAGGCTACATAGTGACTTTTCTTAACCCACAAATGGCTTGTTTTGTGTCAGGGAGCTTTTCCCTAAGTTCCTACTGTTATGAAGACGCTCCACACCGATAAATACTGTATACTTTCTTCGACTTTAACTCCAAAACACCAGTATTGTAAGAAGGAAGTTATATTGTTTGGCAATTAAAACGGAGAATAATACAAGTCTATAAACAAATGTTTTATACAAAATTATTATGTACTTTTATTCGTTTTCGTTCGTCTTCGTCGAACTTGTACACGATCGAACCATTCGCGCCTTCGAGTTGCCCACCAACGGCTACCAAGGCCAATGAACCAACATTCAATGCTCAATTCCATTGACAATCTGCGTTAGCGGTTACCTTCCATGGTACCACTTAGTGACTTTTCTTTCAATACTTCAAGTTCATTTTCAGGTTGGTTTGTCTAGAAATAGCTTCCATGATTGTTGCGTGTTCATCTACACTAGCTGTTGACTCTCTTGCAGCTGTTCAAGAATGTATTTATCAGTGATAAAACGAAGAGAACATGGAGATAAACAGTCACACCAAAACTCAGCAATTGCCTCTTTTTCTTCAAAAATCGAATCTTCAGCAGTGTGACTCGATCAGCATGGACAAACTAACTGATTGCTTAAAGTGATATGACCGAAGTTCAGTTGAAATGGGGAAATTCTTTATCTACCATGCCGTTGGCATAAAGTTTGGCTATATCATCTAGTGGTCACTGCCATGCGTCTGTGGACTAAGTAGGTCCATGCATGAGTATTATAGGCCTTATAACGTCAGTGAAAAGGAAAATCCATTGAGCAGGTTCATGTAGACTCGCTTTCAGAAAAGTACACACTCTCACAGCAGCTGTGATAGTTTCTCTATTTGAAGCTTATAAGTTAAAGGCAGACCGTTTCCATCTTAATTTATCCATAATATGTGTCAATCACGTCTCAAAAACCGTTAATGCCCAGCTCTTGCTGCGCCAGGCCTCTCGCTATCCCTCGAAGCCTTTCAGAAACGCTTAGTACTAACTGATGCAAAAACTAAAACACCGATTGGTGACTCGAGAATTCTTTATTCTAACACCAACATATCAGCAGCATAATAAACTAATGTCTAAGAACAAATATTTCAACAATAAATCACGATATTACTTCTGAGAGTTCTTTAGGTTCTTTCTGAACAGCGACCGATGAGACGATGACCGGCAGATTGATCACGCGCAAAAATTATGGGGAAGTTGGGTTTGAGCAACCAACCATGAATTGACCGTTCAATCTTCAACTACATTGACAATATGAATGACGCCGTCTTCCCAGCCATTTTCAACCGGGTGTATATGTAAGTGGTGACTTCCACTACCTGCTTCTTCTCTCTATGCGTTCCGAAGAGATAGTAATAATATATATTTCTTCCTGTTTATGCAGGAGCATACCAATTGTACAGGCATGGATAAGTTATTATATAAATTACACAAAATTTGATGTATATTGGATTTACAGTTTGGTTGTTCTTTCTGACATCAAAGTCAGTCGGAACAGTCTGCTATAAAGTTTGTTTGTGTAGCACGTAAAGAGATATAGAAATATTGTCTTCGCATTAACAAAAAACCCAGACATCAGATGAATGTAATACAAATATCTGGGAAAAATAAAGCTTGAAGTCAATTCTCTTACATAACTTTGTTGTGAACAGCACCCTTGGCTTAAAGATTATTGATGTATTATATTGAGACCAGTGATATATTTATTCCATTTTTTCAGTAGTCTTGTCGTAGTTTTATAACAGGAAAGAAATTTGATCGTGGATACGAAAACTAGATAAGGTCATGTTGGGTTGTTTTACTGCATCAAGTGGTGCCGAGGTCGACTCCAGAATTCTCCATTTGCTCCATTTGTAATGCAATGGAAACCGATACAATGCCACTAAACAAGTTTCTTTTTCTCTTTTTCAGAAAGAAACGGTGATGTGGCATCATTGGAGCAAGAGGAGGACCAGTTATCAAAGCTTGTTATAAATGACGATAACTAACTTGTACCCGGGTAATTTGAGTCCGGCTTCCTTTAAATAAACGCTTCCTCCGTACCGTCTTTGCCTTCTTCTCCACCCGTCGTGTCTGTGGTCTGTGTGTCTTACAATTGGTGTCGGAGGTGCCTTATTTACGCCGAGACATGGCAGATTATCCTCAAGATGCCCTTCCCAAGCTCTTTCCGGAGGAATGTGCCCCCACATTGCCAAGCATTCCGCCACTTCCTCGCCCACCCATGTTCCAGCCTTCCTCAGATTATCCATGCTGGAAGAGCCGCATGCTGGCGTTCCTCGACATCGCCCCCGCAAGTCATCATTTCATCCACGTCATCAACAGCCTGTCCGACGACGCCTACGCTCTAGCTTACGCGGCTGGGTTCAGCAACACCAACCCCATGCGCACCAACTGGGAGATATTAGACCGATGCTTTAACTTGAGACGGAGCTCGCAGCACACTATGCTCAGATTCTACTCCCGTCGACAATCACCAGGGGAGAGTTTCCTGGACTACCTCCATGCCCTCCAGCTCCTGGCAGCTGGCCTTGACTGCCACAAGGACCTCCCCAGCCGAGATCAGGCAGTATGCACACGCTTCGTCGAGGGAATGACGCCAGGAGAACTGCGCACACACCTACGACGTCAGCTTCCGACCAGCACAGTCGAACTACAGCAAATTATCCTCCATTTCATGGACGCGGAGAACGATTACACGCCTACACCCAGCAGCTCTCGATGTCCACTGCCAACAGTACCCACAGCAGCCACCACGACTCCCGTCCGCAGTGACCGTTCCAGAAGCCAACTGCGTTCAAATGAGGATGCTACGCGCGGATGTTACTACTGCCAACGATACGGGAAGAAGGCCCGCAAGTGCGGGCACAACCGTCAGCCCGACCGCAGTAAGTCCCCTATTTTTAACCTGTCTACATATTCTCGGTCACCGCAACCTTTGATGTTATGGGGATATATTAATGGTGTACCCTCTAAAGTCCTCTTAGATACTGGTGCGTCGGTTTCGCTCGTAAAGGCGGCCTTTCTTCGACGCGTGCCCCAGCACTCACCCCCAGTAACCGCACATAATACCTTGACGACGGCTAACGGCGCTAAATTGGAAGTTCGATCTGCTACAGATCTACAGCTGCGCCTGGGAGACTTAAATGTGCATCATCGGTTCCTTATCTGTAAGCAAATAACATGGGACCTCATCCTCGGAGTAGACTTCATGACGTCCCACCAAACCCTTATAGATATCCCCAATTCTCGCGTCACAATCGATTCCGTTCCTGTAGCGTTGTATACACCCCAACAACAGACCTCTTCGGAGTTAAGCGTACCAATATCTACCACCCTAAATCAAATCTCGGTTGACCCATCCGCCCCTGCGCCTCTCCGAGAGCGAATGCTAGAGTTAATTGGTGTATTCGCAGATGTGTTTGATGATGGGGCTAATCCAGGACGAACTGGAGTGGTCAAGCACCGTATCGATACCGGCAGCCATCCGCCGGTGCGCCAGCCATCCAGACGCATCCCGGTGCATTATCAGCCCCAACTAGAACGTTTGTTACAGGACATGCTGGACAAGAAGATCATCGTACCTTCCTCGTCCCCATGGGCGTCACCTATTGTGTTAGTTAAGAAAAAAGATGGATCCCTCCGTATGTGTATCGACTACCGCAGGTTGAACGCCGTGACGAGACGTGATTCCTTCCCGATCCCTCGCATTGACTCTACTCTCGACGCACTGAGTGGCTCGAAATGGTTCTCCACGTTAGATTTAGCATCTGGGTACTGGCAAGTTGAGGTACACCCTGACGACTGCCCAAAGACTGCCTTCATCCTTCCGACTGGGTTGTATGAATTTCGCACCATGCCCTTTGGTTTGTGTAATGCCCCCGCCACTTTTCAACGGCTGATGCAAGTTGTCCTAGATAAGTTAGTTCCACAACAATGTTTGATATATCTTGATGACATCGTTGTCCACGGAAAATCCCCAGAAGAACACATAGAGAACCTACGTACGGTCTTTAAACGCTTACGCACGGCGGGCTTAAAGTTGAAACCATCTAAGTGTACCTTCCTTCAGCGAGAAGTTATTTTCTTGGGTCACCGCATTTCCCCAGATGGCATCCAGACAGATCCAGCGAAAACTCGCCTCATCTCCGACTGGGCTGTACCTAAGTGTAGCAAAGACGTTCGCAGCTTCTTGGGTTTCGCGTCGTACTATCGTCGCTTCGTCCCCGCGTTTGCCACCCTAGCATCACCCCTACATCGCTTAACGGAACAGGGTCGGAAATTTTTATGGACTAGTGAATGTCAAGATGCCTTCAACGAGCTGAAGCGACGCCTCACGTCATCACCCATCCTCGCATTTCCTGACACGTCTCCATCGGCTGGCCCCTTCATTTTAGATACTGATGCAAGTGCCACTGCCATTGGTGCCGTCCTCTCCCAAGTGGCACCCGATGGTCGCGAACGGGTTATCGCATATGCCAGCCGTAAGCTCGACAAACGTGAAACTCGGTATTCCACGACACGCCGAGAGATGCTGGCTCTTGTTCACTTTCTCAAATACTTTCGTCATTATCTGCTTGGGCGCCCATTTCGAGCACGCACCGACCATCGTGCTCTGCAGTGGCTGCAAACCTTTCGCGAACCTGAAGGCCAGGTTGCTCGCTGGCAGGAGCGGTTGCAAGAGTTTGATTTTACCTGTGAATACCGCCCTGGAACCCGCCACGCTAACGCTGACGCCCTTTCCCGTCTGCCGCCTGATGTTTCCCCGGTGAATGCTATATTAAATACAGGTCTAGATGTTGATTGGGCAGCACTGCAGGCGTCTGACGCCGATATTCAACCTGTCTACTCCCGACAGCTTCACGGGAACGATAAACCGTCGAATAAAGAACTACAAAGTCTGTCTGACGCAACCAAATGCATCTGCGGTAAGTGGGGGATACTACGCCTGATTGATAACGTTTTGTACATAGTCGAACCGCCATCATCGCCTCGCCTTCTCGTGCCACGTTTGAAAGTCCCGGAGGTAATACGTCTTGTACACCAGCAGCTGGGTCACGCTGGCCAACGAAAAACCGAGCACGCCGTCCGTCAACGCTTTTGGTGGCCACTTCTTCACCACGACGTCACTGAGTTTTGCCGCAACTGTGCTACGTGTGCGCAGATTAAACAGCCCAAAGCATCCCCCCGAGCACCGTTAGTCCCGATGCTTACCGAGGCGCCTAATCATCGCGTTGGGGTAGACGTAATGGGGCCAATAACAACGTCAAGACGCGGCAATCGATATATACTTGTCATGGTTGATTACTTCACCAAGTGGTGCGAAGCCGTCCCCTTGCGACAACAAGATGCCTTAACGATTGGCCGCGCGTTCATAGACAATTGGGTGTCCCGTTTTGGTGCCCCTCTTTATCTACACTCTGACCAGGGCGCTGCATTCGAGAGTTATCTTCTTGCTCACATCTGCAATACCTTTGGCATCCGGAAGACCCATACTACGCCATACCACCCACAGGGTAATGGACTCGTTGAACGTACTAACAGAACTATTAAGAACCTCATCAGTGCCTTCTTATGCAACGCACCGGAGAATACCTGGGATGAGGTCCTACCCCAGTGTTTGCTGGCATACCGATCTTCCATGCATTCATCGACGGGTTTTTCCCCAGCCATGCTATTGTTCGGACAGGAACTCCGTCTTCCAGTCGAGATTCAAACTCCGCTGTTACCATACGAGAAAATCGACTGCATTCCCTATGTCCGACATCTTCGCCACCACCTAGAGGTCGCCTACAACCTGGCGCGTCGTCATCTACAGTCCTCGTCCGACCAACAGAAGACTAATTACGACCGATTTGCCCGTGGCCCCACTTACTCGCTTGGCGATTACGTCTGGCTTCATCGACCATCTGTTCCGGCCGGTTCCTGCCCCAAATTCTACGCTCCCTGGCAAGGACCCTATGAGATCGTCCGGCATCGACCCCCGACTACATATGTCCTGCGGCATCTGCAACGGCCTCAAGCGAAGCTAGTCACAGCACATTATAATCAACTGAAACCACATCATCCAGCAGCCGTCACGGAACCGTCTCCACCCGCGCAACCGCCGCCCGCAACCAGCTACGTCGAGGTGCCGCCCGATGGAGGTGTTGCATACCCTACACCACCACCGGGCACTGAGGACAGTGCCTCCAGAGGGGAGGAGGCGATGTAATGCAATGGAAACCGATACAATGCCACTAAACAAGTTTCTTTTTTCTCTTTTTCAGAAAGAAACGGTGATGTGGCATCATTGGAGCAAGAGGAGGACCAGTTATCAAAGCTTGTTATAAATGACGATAACTAACTTGTACCCGGGTAATTTGAGTCCGGCTTCTTTTAAATAAACGCTTCCTCCGTACCGTCTTTGCCTTCTTCTCCACCCGTCGTGTCTGTGGTCTGTGTGTCTTACACATTTGTGTCTGCATGGCGGACTGTATTCGAAAGTTCAGAAAAATGTTGAGAACTGTTTGAAAACCAGTTGCTTCTTCATTTCAGATCATGAATACTCATTTACAGCATGTTCGCCAGCGTCTTCAAATGGTAGAATTGGATCGTTCATGGAATTTGAGTGGTTATGAGATAGACAGTTTGGAATTAATCCTCATTTCAGTTTAGATGCAGGGTTGTTCGACCTCGACCAGAAGATGAATAGGAGCAGCAAAATACCAGAAAGAGAAAGTATGTGAACATGAAAAGGACATTATTATATATGATTCATTTATAAATGTTTATCTGAATTATACCTAAGTAAACATTTTTCTATATTGTATCTGCGTTTTCACGTATTTATGCGAAGTCTTAGAGTTTATTTAGTGTCATAATGTGTATTAATGAGTCTGGGCGTTTTTATTGTTCTAATGACTGATGCGTTTTAGAAATAAGTGATGGGTTCTGGTAGGGATAGTCATTTGGACAAAACAGTTTACATAGCAAGCGTTTGAAGGTTACAATGAGGGATAGGTCCTATTTCTAAGGGTAAACTAATCCTGTATGTTCCGTACAATGTCTTTATGCATCCATGCTGCTAGTGTATTTATAGTTTTTAGATTGCTAAGGGTGTTGAAGTGCGTCTTTTAGGTGCTGTAGTAGATTAGTGCTTGATTCGTTCTAGGAGTAGTTTATTAATATAATCTGTAGAGTGAAACAGTCTGTATAGAGAGCGTTTGAAGCTTGTAACCGAAGAGCAAGTTCTGATATCTAGGGGTAGGCTATTCCATATTTTAGAATACATTACTGTGAAGAAGTTTTCACGGAGTGTTGACCTAAAAGAATGAGTTATCACTGTGCAAGTTTGGTTACGCAGATCGTAAGAACCTTCCTGTGCGAATTGTATGTCCCTGTTACCTGAGAAAGATATTTTGTGAAGGACCTTAAAGAAGAATATTAGGTTTATAATAAGTCACCTTGTCCTAAGTGGGTCGAGTTTTAGGATCATGCACCGTGAGATGTAGTCTTTCTTACAATCGTAGCCAAGTAGTTTGGAGGTAAAATATCGTTGGATACTTTCCATCCTTAGCTTGTCGCGTGTGCGAGTGCTGCTTATAATAAATGGACAGTATTCTAGTAGTGGTCTGACACATGTTTTGTACAGAATTAGCTTGGCTTCATTGTCGTGAAAGTTCCTGAGTATGCATCCTAAGAGCATCCTCGATTTTCTAGTCTGTGATGCTACTTGCTCAGAGAATGTCAAGTCACTAGAGTACCTCAAGCCTAGGTCAACGACACTTCGGAGTCTTGTTAGGTTAGCAGATTGGAGCGTTAATTTCAGGTCAATTGAGGGTGCACCGAAGCAGATCCAGCCACATTTGTTCAGATTAAATTGGAGATTCCATAGGGACGACCAAGCAGCCATTTTATCTAATTCCTTCTGTACTACATCCTCGAAGTTCCCTAAGTCATCACGTTGGAATGTATAAGCTACTTTTAGGTCATCTGCAAAGATGAATGGTTTCCCGTGCGTGAAGCAAGCGCATATGTCATTGATGTAGTTTCCTGTGGCATTGGTGTCTTTTCCAAAACTGCAGGATTTATAACGGAATTTTGCATCTTTGTCATGGGTATTGTGATATTAACATCACGCCGAGTTCTTAGCCTAGCAGAACTTGGATTCCGAAAAACCAATTCAGCTGCTGTCTTGAAGACAGTTTCGAAAACTGGAAGGACCAAACTAGAAATTAGTGTATAAAGTTCAGTTTTAGTGTGTGAAAGCACAATCCTAGGTGCAGCACACGAATAACTCAAGTGTTTCGGAAGTCAACACTAGGACTAAGAATTTCAAATAAGCCAGCTGTTATTATTCCCTGTGATCATGCGTTGGTGCCCTATAACCACGCACTCATGCGGGGCTGGACTCCCGGCCGATGCAGTCCCAGGCCACATCTATTGGTCAGTAAGCCTGGTGAAGAGAGAAGGCTGTGCGTGAGGCCACCAGCCTGATTCCATAAAAACAACATCATTGCTGCTGAAGCTTTTATCCTCAAACTTCAGTCTCTGTGCCCCACAGGAACGAAGTAGCGTGATTAGAAATTATTTCTTAGTGGTAATATTATGACGATCCACTATTTTTCATGAAAACGATGAATTTCGTTTTGTGGCATACTTTCCCGAGAATAAACTACCAGGGAGTCTTCTGTGATTTCAAGCTCTTTTCTTCACCTTGACAGTGCTTACCTGAACTTTCACCAACTAATAGAATGGCCCGTTCCGGTCCTGAAATGTCCTCATTTGATTTGTTTTCATTTAATTCGAGGAATCTATATATTACGTAATGATAGCATTTTAACAGGTTCACGTCGTCACCACAATTTGTAAGTTCCTTAAGCCTTTTAGAAGTAATATGGATTGTTTTGGGCAAACTAGTACACACATCACCCGGAAACAATCAGCCAAAGTTGGTGGAGTCATTGAAGGAGCGTAGAGATATGCAATATCCTCACGATCTTCAGAGGTGTGAAGGCCACTCAGATTACATAAAAATGAGGAGTTAGGGTATGGAAGTCCTGGAAATCAGTGAAAACAAGTGGAACGGATTTGGACTCCTTACGTTTTCAACTGGAGAGTCGAAAATCTACTTCGGTCACCTAGGCGACAAACACATGCACCCCAATGATGAGAATATCGTGATGCCAAAAGTAGCATCGTAGACACTGACACAGTTGGAATCATTCTCCTAGAGGATAATGAAAGCAAGACTCAACTAAGAAATAAATTGTTGTGATGGAGTATTAGTGTTTCGTCGGTCGCAGTCCAGCTTGACTAGAATGGTCCTCTAGTGATGACATTTCAGCCAAATGATCTCTTGAAAAATATTCTATCGCACTGAGGTCGACACACAGAAGACAGATTTAACTGAGGCAACTACAACAACAGTTTTATTATTCACAATCTTAAGTAAATTATCCTCCACATATCAACACAAATCTAAACCGTAGATAAATAATTAGTATCTAATTGATGGTATCACTCAGGACTTTAAAGCTAACAAATATATTTAGTCCGTCCTGACGGAAATTTACAGTTGTCCATGGCTACCCGCCTACATGCAGCGAAGACCCAATTGAGACAGTTTCAAACACCAATAGATAAGATCCAAAAGTGCAACTTCATTGGGTGACATATTAACTTGGAACTGATGTCACAGGCAAAGAACTCCTCATGGATCCAGAGGCTGTCCGCCAAATGAATGTGAACGGAGAACTCTTTGCAGAATTCCGTGTCTTCAGTGATTTGGTGATCGGAAGCAGTGTGTGAAGACACAAAGATATACATAAGGCAACATAGATTTCACTTAGTAGACATAACAAAAATCAGGCAGAATTCATCGTAACCTGAAGAAAGTGGAGTCGTAGTCTGCAGGATAAGGAATTCAGAAGAGGTGCAGATAAGAGCTCAGGCAAGTATTTAGCGTGAGGAACCTCCAAGGTCAAGTTAAAAGCCATTAGACAGGCTAGAGACAGACACAACTCAGGCTCAACATCTAAAAATTGGGGGAGACAACTACGTGGGACACATTTACTGCAGTCACCAGAGCAACGTTCGAGACATTGTACAGAATCTTCAAGGAAACGTACGTAGAAAGACATTGGAACACCCTGAAATTGATTTTGGAGGGAACCTGCATAGCTGTTTTAGGAAAGAAGAAAAGGTAGAACACGCAGTGGTTCTGTACGGATCTCTGGAAGTAAGTAGTGGAGGGGAGAATGGTGGACAGTAAAAAGAAGCTGAGCACTGTCTACAGCACCCTGAACAAAGGATTGAAAAAAGTGCTAGGAACGACGCATTACGTAGAATTCTCAACGAGGCTGGAATTAGGATGGCATGTAAACCAACCAATTAACCAAATTTCTCACAGATGAGCTTTGTCGGCTTAAAGACCCAATAGAGCCAATCAAGTAAAATAATATTATTCCGAAAATACCGTACAATGACTGCAAGGCGAATTCTATACTTTAAACTGGTCTGTATGGGCCGATTATACATTTAGCCAAATCTAGAATGATTGACCCTAATAAGTTAAATATCTCTAAAAACAACTAGGCCATTCCATTGCATTCCCTTGCATGTTTTCATACAATACGGTGGGAAAAGTTGAAAGTATTACCAAATCATATAGTTGGATGAAGACAGAGAGAGAAGTTAATCACAGGATCTTTGTTCATCGAATTAACACTGAGCAGGTGCAACCGGCATGACGTAACATCTACAACGGATGTATGGATACTGCAATCAACAACAAAGGTGTGGAGAGAGAGAGAAAAGAATGTATGAGGGAAAATATGAAGCTGTATGTTATCGATGCCTTTTACAAATACAGCATTTTTAATGAAATGCCTTCGTCACTGATACCATTTTGCCTCCAGAAATTAGCTTCCATTTATCTATCACACGTTTCAGTATGATATAAGTCAACATTGTATGCACGACTCTACGATCTAAGTGATGTTAGTCAACTGTGTGTAGGCAATTAAGAACTATTTCTAGTGAGTTCAGTATTACCAATTATTCTTAATATGTTTAAACGTGTTTTTTCGGCCTTAGTGTTTTATATTACTTCATAGAATTCCTTCAAATTTGATACGCTCATAGTGTTGGCTGTAATTTTGTCGACTGAATGAATTACTATATATCCTTACGACATCAAAACATGTGTGCTTACAATCTGACCTAACTACTACATTTGTGGATTCCTCAAAAATAAACTTATCCAATCTTTACTACTATGTAAGAGATGAACATATTGTACATTGCTTTGTTTTAACCATAAACTCTGTACTTTTGAAATTTACCTCGGGTTTTGAATGAAAATATAGTTCTGCCTTCGACTCT